GGATATGGATATGGATATGGATATGGATATGGATATGGATATGGATATGGATATGCATATGAATATGGATTGAATGGAAGCCAACTTACCACTTGAGCTATTCAGCTCCTGTCGCTCTGGACTGGGCGCCAGATCCGATCCAATGCCCGAGGAGCCGCGCGATGAGACCTGCTTGCCATTGGCCGTCGTCGCGGGCACAGCACTTACTGGTGCTGCTGGTCCTGCGCCAGGCGACACCTGGCCCTTGGGCGTGCCCGCGCCGCCCACAATGAGAGCATTGCGACAGCGTCGCAGCTCGATTGCCGTTAGATTGCCCTTGGAGCGATGCACTGTGTCGTAGTCGCGCGGCGGCAACAGCAACGGCGGCCCGTTCCCGTTCAGCTTGGCGCGCAGCTCGGCGGCCAGCGAGTCGAACAGATCGCTGTTCTGCTGTGGCGTCAGTGGCGGATGGCCGTGCGGATGATGCGAGCCATGGTGTGACGAATGATGCTTGCCGGTGCTGCTGCTGCCGCCATGTGGCGGCGAACGGGAGACTGGCGAGCCGGTCAGGCCGTGCTCCTCGCTGCACTCGGACTCCCGTGTGCTATTGCCCGTGTCGCTGCCCAAGGAGCTGCTGAAGCGCTTCGGCGACGTCTCGTGGCGGCGCTGCTGCTGCTGCTGCTGCGAGTAGCCGCCGCTCGAGTGCAGCTGCTGTTGTGACTGATGGTGCGACGACTTGTGGCCGGACTCGTGGCGCTTGTCGCCGCCGCTGTGGCTGCTGCTGCTGCTGCCTCCATTGTGACCCAGAGGCCCGCCAGCGGGCAGCGGTGGCAAAATGCCCAATCTGCAAGGTGAAAAGACAAAATAGAGAATGAGCGAGGTAAGAGGAGGCTGCTAGCAAATAAGTATGCAAGAATATACAAGTATACATAGGCACATATATGTACATATATACAAAAGCCTTATGCGATTCGTATGTATTTAAAATGAAATTCAAGAAAATCAATTTTTTATTGGTTTGGTCTTTGTTTTGAAACATTTCTCTAACTTGAAGTCTAGTTTGCATAGCTGAAAGCATGTTTAAATTTGTTTTAATTTATTTATGTTGTTAATTTATGGCGTAGTATCTATAAAGAGAAAACTTGAAAATCATAGAAAATCTCTTCTGAAAACTTGCTATTGGAAGCTGTCGTGCCAGCTCTTGGGCCAATCATTTACGAATATCTCATTCGGTCTATTAATTACCCATTCAAATGCTGTGACAAACACAAAGACAATACAAAAGACGCTGCGCGCTTGCGGAGAAATCTTCGATAGACAGCGAAAGGTAAAGTCTAGAAGTTTTGGATGGGAGCACAGCATTGCGAGTGACAGAAATGAGTGCGACAGCTCCAAAGGAGAAGATAAGTTTAGGGGGGCGTCTACTCAGAGTGATGCTTAGCTGCGGCACTTTGAAGTGTGTATTATCTTGTACTTATATGTAGTCCTATACCCACTTGTATATAGTTATACTCATCTCTATCACATTTCTGCCCTCTACATAAATTTTATGAATATTTTTCAGTTTATTTAAGTGACTTTATGACTCGCATTTCTTAACGATAGGCAGATAGATGAATTTATCAATGTTAAGGAGGTAAAATATTAATAAATTAATATCTATATATTATATATATATTTTTCTTCTTCTTATTTATGTCAATATTATTATCTTACATACCATTTGCAGTATAGTGCAAATAAAATATATTACAAAAAAATTTTACTTGAATTATTCATAATAAAAAATTAAAAAAAAAAAACAACTTTAAATTAATATAAATTACTCTTAACTAAGTTTCTAAAATCCACTAAGATAACTCAGCTCCCTATGTTGACTATGCATAGATTTTCTTTCCAATTTCTACATAATTCGAAAATGCTCGCTAGTTACAGGTAACCAAATAGAACTTTGCACATGTGAAACGCTTTGAACTCTGCTCAGGTTCGGCATTTGCCACCCATCGAGCAGCGTGGTCTCGCACAGAGTTCAGTTGCTGCCGCTTCGAAAAACGGTTTCTCATGGCATCTTCACATTTCGGCTATGTGGGGATCTTCTACAATTTACCGCAAAGCTGAAATTAATTGCGGCCCGACAAGCAGGAAACAAAGTGGCAAGCAGCAAGCAGCGAGCCAGCCAAGCAGCCAACTCTGCCCACTTAGACGTTTAGACATTTAGACAATCCATTATCCGATCTCTGCCCGTTGCGGCAGATCGTTTCATTTGCTACTCATGATAATGACACCGAGATGCCACTGCACTTGCAGCTGGCTTTCCCACGAGTCTCAGAACAACGTGCATATACTATACTATATACGCGTATACAAATCTAATGCTCCAGCAAATACTCAAAGATTCTCTCGAAGTCAAGCGCAAAATCGAAATTCTTGCCTTTCCACACACAATTTACACCTGGTTTCGAAAGCAGGGCTTCATTTACATAACATAACATCAACCTGATGGGAAGACTCAGTCGATTCTCTTGAAGAAATCTCTACAAAATGAAAGCTCTTAGCAGTTTCGCTTATATTAAAAGAATATAAGATTTATAATTAAAATTTTAATTATGTACATATTGCATATACATAAATACATATACATATATGCATATGCATATATAAATTCTTAAGCTGTATAGATATCGAAATTGAATATTATTGTAAATGTGTATATTTGTTCTGTATTAAGAATTTCATTATAAGCATTTTTACTTTAAAAAGAAAGTCGAGGAAGGAAATTTCACAACCAATAATCTGAATTGGGAATCACGAGCTTTTGCGATTATTATTATCATTTTCATATATTATCTCTCGTTTATTGGGTTTCCCAATATAACGTTATTTACATTAGGAAATAAGTCATACGCTTTTGCGAATTTCAAATGAAATCACAAGCTTTTGCCATTTTATAAGCAATTGGGAATCACATCATGAGCTATTGTGCATTAGAGTGTAAAAAATATGATTTGTGATTTGAAAATTAAATTTAGAGCTATGGGCAATGGCCAATACAAACTCTTGCTTTAGCCATAGGCCAAGGCCAGAGATAAATAATAATATAATATATTGTACTATAACATTTAGCTCGAAACTAACCTGGTCTCGAGCTCCTCAAAGCGCTTCTGATTGTCGGGCCGATTGATTAGGATTTGTAGTTGTAGATGCAACGCCTCGGCCGTTGTCTCCGAGTCGCAACGATAGGCGTGCACATGCAAGGGGCATTTGGTGGCCGGATTGTAGAGGAGCAAAACACAGGCAACGATGTCATCGGTTTGCACGGAGCTGGTTATGGCACTGTGTGGTATTAAATGCTTCGACGAGCCCTGTTTCCAACAAACGACAACATAGAGGAATGTTTTGTAGAAGGGGTGTGTGTATTGCGGGTGTGTGTTTGCTTTTTTTTTTTTTGGGGTGTGGCGTATGCTCAGCACTTACCTGCACGATTTTGATGCCTTTGTGCGAGACCTGGAGCGTCACCTTGAGCGGCTCCTGGCCCCGTGATCTGTCCACCAGATACGGCAGCACTGAGTTAATGACGCGGGCGCCCCGCAATCCCTTTGCCTCCTCGGCGCCCAGGAACCACACATAGTAGGAGGCCTTCTGTACGTCCCGACGCAAACGTAGCGCCATCTTGTACTTCTTCTTCTTCTTCTTCGTCTACCTCTTCTTCTTCGTCAGCGATCAATTTAGATTATGCAGTTGACTTCAATTTATGGCTGCCCAGACGCTTACCAAGTACACCTCAGCATCTGCAAAAATAAAAACAAAATAAAAAGTGTAAGCTTTAATTTTAAAGATCAAATCATCTTCTATGTAGATGAAAGAGTGAAATTAATGGAAGTTCTTAGGCTTAACGAAAGTGTCGAATACATTTTTGATATAGTAATAGATAAGTATACTTAAGCTCTCTAGATAATATTTTAATATTGCCTTAGAGCGTGCATTTGTCCTCCCATTGAAATGGGAATTTAGGGTATTTTGGCAGGCAGAAGAAGTCATAGCTTTGATACGGCCCACTAGTTGAGTCTACCTAAGGTACATATATTTGCCTGTCTGTCCGTCCGTTCGTGCCTTTGCCTCGTGCCTCTGTCCATCTTTCCGATTGTTCTTCAGCTCATATAGACGGAATGATCTCGATCTAACGTAGTCTTCGATCTTTCATTTCAACATAGCTTAAGTAACGTAAATGCTGCTCATATAACAAGTGAGCAGGGCTCAGGGTATTGCCTAGCTCCAATCGTAGCACTCTGTTTTCATAAGCTTGATATATATAATATACTTGATATATAAGTTATTTCTCTTTATAATTTTGTATTATACATTAAAAAAAAAAAGTGTTAAAAGTTTTTTAAAATATGTATAGCAGTAAAGCTGATGAACAAAGTTTAAGAAATATATAAAAATACATTTAAGATTACTTTGCCTATATAAAGAAAAACAAAAACTATTCGGAATGAAATGAGAATACAGATATCCCAGTTCAAGTGGCAAGAGAAAAAGACATGAAAATGCTAAATAATTGCAGCTAAGAGCATCATAAGAATGCTCAAATGAGTCCTCTTAGTATTAAACAGTCAGGTGTGTCTTAAATATGGCATTTGCTATGGCTGAGGGGATGATTATCCATCAGCAAGCACGGAGAGCACGTAATAAACTGAAGATTTAGCGTCAAGTGGATTTATTTCGCCACTAAACATAAAATCTAATTGGAGTTGAATTGGGAAAGGAACGCTGTCGCAGTCACAGCATAAACTAACTGGAATGCTTAATATTTATGCTCATGGGTAGCATGATTGCGTTCCTCTAACGGCATATTTTTAGACAAAAATTTCCAATTCTCAGCTAGCTGTTGTGTCATAATGGCTAAAATGCCTGGCGTATATGCATAAAGCAAAAAAAAAAAAAAAAACAAAACTGGTGCTATAGGAAAGTGGGCAACAACAACAACAACAACAAGCAACGGCATTCACATTGTGCATATGTGTGTATCTACCAGTCGTATGTTAGTATAGACTTGTCGTCGTTTATATACTCGTATATCTTCTCAATAATATTCATAATCGATGAGCCTGTACAACTTGTTGTGCGACGTTGTCTTGCGTAGGCCAAAAGAATCTTGTTTTTTTTTTTTTTTTTCTGTTATTTTACTGCTGCTACTCTTTCTTCTTCTTGCCTTCAACTGAATATATTTTGTACACACACACAGGCTCCTATAGATATTTATCAATGTTATATGGCCGGCATCATGTGTGTGTGTGTGTGCCTTTAAAATTTACATATGACACAAAAGCAGCCGCAACCTCAGCCACAGTCACAGTCACAACAACAGCAACAACAAAGGCAACAACAACCACACAAAAGCTGCTAAACAAACGAAATTATTAACCTCAAAAAATCTTTTAAAATGTATGTTGTTAGAAGAAAACACAGACAGGCAGACACACGCTCAAAACACACACATTAATTTTTAAATATCGAAAAAAAAGGCTGAACTAAAAGCGGAAAAACACCCAAAGTTATGTTTTACATCGACTAATTCCAGAAGCTTACATTCTTGTAATCTATTGATGCATTGTTCCTGGGCAGACACTGAGAAAAAGAGAGAAAGAGGGAGGGAAGACAGAGTAATAGAGCATAGGCTTACATCGGAATCTTTAACTTGTTTTGTTTTTTCGACTAGATAGAAATATTTTGTATTAGAAAAAAAAAACGAATCAATCAAATTTTAATTTTGTTTATAGTTTAAAAAATTGTAAATTATATTTTTAGCTTTTTTCATATATTCTTATTCAGAATTTTTCAGTATTTTTATATAATTATTAAATTATATTTTTAGCTTTTTCATATATACTTATTCAGAATTTTTCAATATTTTTATCTAATTATTAAATTTAATATTAAAAATTTCTTTCAATTTTTTTCAGTCACAAATTTATGAAAGAAATTTTTAAAATAAATGTAGAATATATCAGACTGAATTTTCCAATTTATATATATATTTATATATTTATTATTGTATTTTATTTATATATTTTATATATTGTAACAGATTGTTTTGCTCTTTTGGGCACGAAAATAAATTATAAATTGAGAGTAATTAAATAAAATTTTAATGCAGTTTCTTAAACCAATAAACAAGCTTCATTTTCGTTTCGGTTAAGAGTTACAGCTGCACAGAGTACACACTCATTCTAAAGTCTTTATTGTCTGATTGCGATTGCAACGTTTCTACTTTTCTTTCAGCTGAAGGCTGAACTTGAGCGTGGCCCTGAGCCTACACGTTACTCATGCTCAAAAGTTCTAAAAGTAGGCGTTCTGCTGCAGTATATATATGAATATATATATATAGATATGCAGGTATACTGCGCCCCCGTCTATAATCTGCATAAAGTTTCAAAACACGCTGCAAAGCTAGAAATCTTAAAGCTCAGATACGAAATATCAAAACAGCTTCAAAATAATAATCTTAATTATCAATTTTGTTTTGTATATTTTCTTGTATATAATTCAAGTAAAGTTTCTCAAATTTAAATATATTCAAAATAGGTTCGATTTTGTGGCATTTCAAGACAATGCAAAGTTAATTTATTCAAGTATAAAATTAGCGATCAACAAATGACTTTCGTATTCCCTGAATTTGAGTGCTAATAAAGTGATAATAGTCAAGCGGAAATATGCATATGTGTATGTATATACCGGAATGTATGTATACATATATGTATTTATATTTGCACACTTTTGTTTTATACTTATATCTTTGAGAGCGGATCGTTGGCTTTTGTTTTATTTAGACGCGTTGAATATGCATCATGTCACTATTTTTAGCATGAATTAACTTTGTTGGCCTTTGATTAAAATCCGTTAATAACGCGAAACTAATGGATATTCGCATTAGTGTTCAAGCCAAAATCCGATACGAAACAGCAACAAAATCAAATAAATAAAAGATGAAGAGAGAGAAACACTTTAAGTGCGGGAACAGCATGGAACTGCCACGAAAATTACTTTTGAAAAAATGCGAACATATTGGAAGCCGAAAACTTGTATCGCTCTTGTGACTCATTCCTGATATCGATATTCGGATTGTTCAATATATGATTTCAAGTGTCGGGTGTCAGCGTATCATCTGATATGCCATTTGGTCATTCAATTTGATTTCAAGACGCTCGCAGAACTTGTCTTAAACAATATGTAAATATATACATTTAAATATAATTTTATATTTTGAGTGTTTTTTTTGTTTTTTGTTATTTTGTTTTCTGACTGCTCTTTCATATCGGCATTTGGTATTCAAGTTTCATTTGCATGCGGATTGACTGAGAACTTGTTAAAAATTTAATTGATGTCATCCATTTGTTATGCACACACTGTAGCGGAACGGGGATATTGCATGCATATTCTATATATGTACATATGTATGTAGTATAAAAAGCTGTATTTGCCTCACTGTCAAAGAGACCTTCTAAAGATCTAAGAGTCTGTACTAATTAAATGTGTTTAAATTTAATGAAATATCTTTCCTTTGATCTCTTCTAAATGTGTGTAGATCGAACACTTCTTCACATACTAATAACTTCTTTTAGTCTACAAACAATTTGTTTTAGTAAGTAAGTGTTTCAGTACTCCCCAAAAATAATTTGTATTATAGCATTTCAAACATATAGACATATAAATAACGATTAATTTATCTCAATTAACTTTTATAATACATCAAAGCTCTTCCAAAACCGTCGTATACTTAGTATTTATATAAGTTATTACATATTGGAAAAAAAAGATCTCAACTAATCCCTCTCTTAAAGTATTTTTCAGAGCTAGCTCAAGTTCTTCAAAGATTTCTCAATTCTCACGATGATTCTTTGGAGTATCTCTTAGTCGAGCTCGCCCCACGACGTTACTTTTACTTGATTCGCTTTGTTTTCGCAGTCATTTGTGTTTATTTGCCGATAAAGAGTGGGTTCATGCATTCGTGCTTATATCGTTCGTGAGTGGAATACATGAAATTCCAATTGCTTTTGCATATACCTTGCCTGCATCATGGCCGCGCCTGAGTATATCCAATTTGTTGCATTTCTCCAGATAAACACATAATCTAATCTAATGTTTCATAATTGCATGCGAAATGTGCATGTGACTAACCAGATATTACGTACATATTTATTTATTATAGGATATGACTAATATTGTCTGGGTATGTCTTTATGGTATTTTATGTACTTTAGAGTAAGGCATTTCAAAAATAAAAAATATTTACTGAGTGTTTTTCTATGAGTAATTGTAGACCCAAGTTTTATATATCACGTAAAAATATTGATAAATGAAATGGTGGAATGTACTATAAAAATTTGATTAATGCAAAAAAAAAAAAAAAAAAAAAAAACAGTTTGAACACATGTTTAGTATATTGTTTTTTATCATGCTACATCTAAAATATCTGAATTAATGTCAAATAGACAACACCTGTTACTCTTTCTTTTCTCTAGCTGTACTCGAAGATATTCTTCGCATATTATGCTATATAGTCCAATAAGAAAGCGACAACTCTGTTCCTCCAGTCTCTTCCGAAATTAGCTATACCCAAAAATAGAAATGGGCGTCAAAGCACCAATGAAACATTCAATACACATTTGTATGTAATCCATTCATTCACGTTTCTTTGCTTTCTTCGGCGCAGTCGCGACTGTTTTCTGGTGTTTGTTGCTGTTGTTGTTGTTACTAAAGCGCCCCCTTTCGGTAATTCTTTTGGCATTCTCTTCAGTTCGCTTATTGGATTTTGCTTTGCGCGCGCACACACAAAGTGTTCTCATTAAAATGGGTTAAGCGCATTTGACGAAGACGCCGCAAATGAACCAAATTGGTGACACAGACACAGAGACTCGCACACACATACACTCATACTCATACGCACATCGACTCTGGCACTTGCACTGTTTTTATTATTGTTGTTATTGTTGTTGCGTTTGTTTGGCTGCCTTTGCCGCTGCTGTTGTTGTTGTTGTTGTGTTACAGGCATTTGCTCCATTTTAGCTGAACTCGATCAATGAACCGTTTAATACATACACACATACACACACACACGCAGACAGAGAAGCATACACACACACACACAACTGCTCACGGCGTTTAAATTTCTACAAAACTTATTTGATTAACGGTAATTGCAAGAGCACAGCACAGCGCGAGAGCATGCTCCCTCGCTCTCTCACTCGCTCTTCACGCTCTCTCACACTCTCTCTGGCTCTCTTTAGTTTACACTATTCACACACCTTCGCTTGCTCAGCACAGCGCACAGCAAAAAAAAAAAAAGAGCGACTTCAATGTTGTTGTTGTTGGCAAATGCTAGCTCCGTTGCTCGCTTGGCTTTTTATGTGTTTGATATTTATGTTCGTTAAGCACGTTTTACGCGTCCCGCAACTGACGACGTCTCAACGCTTTGGCCGTCTGTTATTGACTGACTTCAGCTCGAGCGACTGGCGCTGCGGCTGCCTGCCTGGCGAACTGCTGGACAGGTATGCACACACACACACACACACAGAGTGACTTTGTTGTTATTGTTGCTGTAAGCCGCCGCAAAGAAAGTCGAGTCGCACGTACAGAGTTGTTGCCGCTGCTGCTGCCGCTGCTGCTGCTGCTGTTGCTGTTGCTGTTGCTGCTGCTGCGAAGCCGCGCTGGCTGGAATGTGTTGAAATTAAAAGTTGTTGGGTTTTTGGGCGCAGCGGCAACGTTGTTGTTGGCCCTGGCCAGGCCAATGCATGTTGTTGTTGTTGTTGCTGCCGTTGATGTTGCTGTTGCCTGTGTAAATTTTATTTTTATTTTTTATTATTATTATTCTTTTTTTTTTTTTGGCTTAGACAGGTGCAGCAGGCGGCTCTGGCTGTGGCTGTGGCTGTGGCGACTGCTGCTGTTATTGATATAGCATTGAGCACTTTGAAAAGCCGTCATCGTTTCCATGCATTCTACAAGTTTTCCAACCACACACACACACACACGAACACACACATACACACTGAGCAGTGCTGCAAAATTGAAAAACTTGGTATTTGGCTTGGCTGTCAGTGGCGAGTGAAATCTGCAAAAATTATTCTATATGCCTATAAGCGTACATCTTGTGTTGTTGCTGTTGCTGTTGTTGTTGTTGTTTATGGCTTAGTTTGTTGCTGTTGCTTTTGCTTTTGGCCACGGAAACGGAAATGCTCAAATTTAGTCGACAGTTGCCGCCAAAAGGTGTCGATATTTATACAATTCTGTTGCGCTTGGTGTTGTTGTTGCTGTTGCTGTTGGTGCTGCTGGCACACATTTTCATTTCCAACAGACTTTCGAAATGCGAGCGCATTGTGAACCAGTTCAGTTAAGGCCAAATGTCTTAGAAGTTTTCCTCTCAGCCTTTTCATAATGGCGGAAAAACGAGCAACTGTCGGCGCTTGTCTGTTTGTTTGTGTGTGTGTGTGTGTGAGTGTGTAAGTACACGTAGATTAATTGCTTAATTGCGACTTAAGATGGGCCGTAAGCAGCCTTAATTGCTTCTATCTTATCTCACATCTTGTTTGTTGTTTCTTCTAAGTGGAAAAATGTCATAAGGTTTTATTTTTCCATTTTTTGTCATTTTTTAGTGCTACATCTTTCCTTTTTTTCCCCCTTTTTTCAAGCTCAATGATTATGGGCTTATCAAATCATGTGTGCTACACGTTTCCGCAATTAATTTGTGAGCTATTTCTTTTTTTTTAGGTAATTTTCAAAAAAGTTTTGTATTTACCTTATTTAGTAATAGATGAGCAGAGATCGGTAAAAGTTCTGATTTTACAAATAGTTGGAAAAGTCTTTCAAACATAAAATGAGCTGTTTCTATATGATACTTTTATTATTTTATAAGCATTTTATGTAGTTCTAATTTGCTTTATTAATATTTTCAGTATTTTTTTTATATTTGAATTTTCCTTACTCCAATTCTAGTTGTAAGAAAAGTTTTGCCTAGGCACACATAATGAATGCAAATGAAATGAAATCAAGTTTCTTCAATATCTTGTGCATGTGCGTGCTAAGCTCTCCATTGATACTATGCACAGGTGTCTTACCCGGCCGACCTGCGCAGTAATTGTTGTAAATGCCAGAGCGTAAATTAAAATTTTGGCCTTGGTCAGCGAATTGTGATTACTTTTTGGCCGCATAGACGTTGCACCGAAATGCATTTGCAGCACGTTTCGTGCCAACAATAATAATATCAACAACTGCAGCAACAACAACTCAATGGCAATTGCAATCTGAGAGATTTCACCAGCTCTTTTGACAAATCCCTGCTAACCTGCTGACATGCTATTGGTCCAAAGGCCCCGCCTCTTCGACTATAAAAAAAAGCAACAGTGGAATTTCACTTTTCACTCATGGAAAAACTACAAGAAGTATACAAAAATATGCCCAAAAAAGCGAAAGATAGTAATGATAATAATAATAATAATGACACTAATAATAATGATAGTAAAAACTTTATATGCGCTCACTTAATAATTTGCTATTAAATTCGTTGATGGCTGTGCCGCATAACAGTTGCATGAATATACTCGGGTTTTTGCACAGTGTATCGAAGGCGTTATTAACATTTCCCTCCACCTAGCTGGCTAGGGGTATGCATAGTTTCAGAACTGTTTAAGTTTTTTTTTTTTTTAGATAACTATCTGCATCGTATCATTAAAACTTATAATAAATATTAGAATATAATTTAAAAAAAAAGAAACAAATATATACATATATATATGTATATACAAATATTTATGTATACAAATTTAAACAAATTTGGAGTCAAGTCAAAGAATGTTTTCAGAAAAAATACTAAAAACGTAGGGTATTCCAGCTTCGTTGCAATCAAGTTTGTTCAGTCTCTTAATAAATGTTTATATATAAATACATATATGTGTATACATATTTTGGTGAAATCCTGAAAGCTCTTCCCAGTGCAAAAATCGAACTCGCTTTTATAGAGCTGCGGCAGGCAGACAGACAGGCAGCTCGCCTCCTGCTCGCCCCATTGGCCAGCCAACTAGTCTGCAGTGCGCATGTGGCCAAGGCCGAGATGCGTCCAAGTCGATCGCTGTGTGCCATTAAATCAAAAGGTAGAAGCAACTGCCACGCCCACGGCCTGGCAGGCCGGCTGGCTGGCTGGCTGGCTGGCTGGCTGGCTGGCTGGCTGGCTGGCTGACTTTCTGGCAGGCAGTCAATGTCGCTACTACATGTAGTAAAAGCAACAATAACAACACGAGAAACTGATTTGTGACGGCCTCGGAACAAGTGGCTTTCTTTTGGGTGCGACGACTTGCGAGCGAGAGATCTGCTTGACGATCGGCGACCAGGGACCTGAGGGACTCAGTGCAGCAGCTGCTAAGCGATTTTAATTGAATTGCAATGAAAAAGAGTTGCTCGAACGAGAAACGCGTTAAACCGCTTTTGATTTTTATATGTACACCATGTCAGGCACAAGCGCCTGGGTAAAAGTGGGTAATCATCATTAGCGTGCCGCGACTGAGGCCGAAGCTGCTGCTGATGCTGTTGCTGATGCTGTTGCTGCTGCTGCTGCTGCTGATGCTAAGGCAGTGCGGCATGGCAACTTCCAATCAGCTAGAGTGCTGGACAGTAAACGACCTCCAATCCACTAGCCAACATCTTTAACCAATTCCATTTCCAATTCCAATTCCAATTCCCACATCTGTATGTTCATAGATTAGGCGGTTGGTGAGAGTGCGACAAAAGCCGAAAGCCGAAAGCCGCTATCGCAGTCAAAGAAAATAAAATTAAAACATTTTAACTGCCTGCTTATAAGATGGCAACCCACACAGATACAAACACAAACACACACACAAATATATACATACACATACACACAGCATGTTGCATGCCACAGCGAGGCAAGTGAAATTGCCTTAATGCGCTCAACTCCCATCCACATGAGCGAAGATCGCTCCGCTGCCCCGGCAAATAGAAATTTGATCTATTTCATATGATTAGCGCGCATATAAATTGCCTGCCAGCTGTCTTGGCCTGGCCTGGCCTGGCTTGGCTCGGCTCACCGATCGAAGACAGACAACTTCCACTTGTTTGTTGTTTATGGGGCTCCGAACGTGTCGGCTCATTGATTGAGCATTGCGATTGATTAGGTGAAAACGCATGTGGGTGTGCCATAAGCGAACTTCAACTCAGCACCGATTCGAGCCGAGCACGAACACGCAACCGACAATCCCAGCACTCACACAGACACACACAGTCAGCAACACGCACAATGAATAATGTTCGATTGTTTTTGGGGGCGTGGCAGCAGCTGCTCCTGGCACTGCATACGCACCCAGAGGCTGTGGTTAAGTTGCGGCTTAATCACCAGGGAGAGTCCGTGATCAAAAGCAGCTACTATCACACCAACTTGGACTTCCCGCCCGTGCCCTGTAATCATCAAAGGGCTGCGAGTCGTCGTCGAACGTGTCGGCTACTTAGTACTTAGCCTATGATTACAGGGTATATTAATATCTGTCTCTGCGGTTACTAGCAGGAGAATGACTGGCGGGATGTGTAGATATGTCGGTGTATCTGTATCTGTATCTGTATCTGTATCTGTATCTGTATCTGTATCTGTATC